ATCTGGGACTTTTTTACTATATATTATGAGACTTTGAAAAAATCAAGAGAAAGATATAGAAGTTTTTTCCAACTCTTATATAATGTTCTAGATTATATAGGATGATTGAGAAAAACTCTGAAATGATGTAACTTGAGATTTACTTTTTTAAAACAAAATAGACTTTGTTTTTTAGAGTGCATTTAGGTTCACAGCAAAATTGAGTGGAAAGTACAGAGTTTCTATGTACCCCCTTCTCCCACACATGCACAGTTTCTGCACTATGACGTCCTATACCACAGCAGTACATTTGTTACAGTTGACGAACCTACATTGATAAATTGTTATCACCTAAGGTCCATAGTTTACCTTAGGATTCCCTCTTGGTTGTACATTCTGTGGGTTTTGACAAATGTATAACGATGTGTATCCACCAGGATAGTATCATACAGAATAGTTTCACTGCCCTAAAAATCTTCTGTGCTATGCTTATTCATCCCTCCCTCTCCACTAACTCCTGGCAAACACCGATCTTTTTCATGTCTTTGTAGTTTTGCCTTTTCCAGAATGTCATATAGTTGGAATCATGCAGTATGTAGCCTTTTCAGATTGGCTCCTTTCACTTAGTGATAGGCATTTTAGGTTCCTCCATATCTACTTTACTTTTTAAAACTTTAGTATTATATTTATTTTCCTTAACTTATTGAAACTTTTTAATGGATTTTCAGTGTAGATAACAATCAGCCTATTCATATGCAATGTAGAATACCTTTACTATAATTTATAAAACTATTATACTGAGAGATTTTTGTAAGATATTTTTAGGAACAGAATATGTAGTACCTAGCTTTTCTGATGTGGCTTATTATAATAGGGATGCCAGTAGAATTATTTGATAGAGACTATAATATCTAAAATTAAAAAAGTGTTTGTTTTTTTTTAATTACAGGCTGACCATTTGATTGAAAAACTAAGGACATGAAAATGTCAACAGTGGAAGATTTCCCTAATCTTGGCTCAATATTAACTAATATTTTGGTCCCTTTGAAGTGTAATTGCAATTTTAAGGTTTGTTGGGTTTTATGAGAGGCTGTTAGTGAGTAACCTTAAATATTTTCTGAATATCTTTTTCCTGAGATCTGTGATCTAGTTATATGAATACTTTGTAACTGACTTCTATGGTTTAATGGTTACTGGTCTAGGGATTTTATATATATGATGCTATAGATAAAATCCCCTTTAAAATAAATTCTGTTAATTGAGAAGGGTTCTGTATTTTTTAAAAAATCAAAATATTTTCATGTCTCAGTAAATAGTCAATTATAATAGTGATTTATTTATGAAGAATAAAATTCCATAGAAAGTACTTTATTGGAACCTTTATTATTGTGAAGGAGAAAAAGAATTTAGCTATTTCTTGACAGTTCTACCGTTTTACATAAATTTTCAAAATAAAGAATACCATACTACACAGTGCTCTCTGATCTTGCAGATGGAAAGAATTATATATATGTCCCTTTTTATTCAAATTTCAGATGCTAGTCTTCACTTCTTGAAGCCTTTTATCTTTTTAGTAAATTGGCCCTGAAAATTATATAATATAAATAATTTATAACAGTTGAGTTTACAGTAACAATCAAATTGGCTATCAGAAGTCACTGTAATGGAATTTGGTCTGTAATATTATAAAGGGGAAGAAACATAAAGTGGTTCTAATGTATTAAAGCTAGCAGAAACTGTTGTTTTATGGCATTTTTTTTTTTTACCAAAAGGAAATTAGAATAAAAAATGGTTGAAAAGACTTAGTTTTTATCATGAAAAAAGCCTTATTTGAAAGTAGACATAGATAGGCTTAGATGAGAAAATTATTTTAATAACGCAATGTTAATATTATTGATAAATCATTTCAAGAGGCATATTTCTTTAGGAATTGTCTTTTGGTGCTAATCCACAGTGAATGTGAATGAAGAGTAGGTACTGAAAGCTAATCCTACGTTGTGCCAGTGTGCAGTAGTAACATGTACATGAATATAAATGAACATAAGGATTAATGTATTGTTGGAAATAAGCTGAGATTACTAGTTTTCTTTTTCTTTTTTGGCATGACATTAAACATAGTTTTAAGTAACAAAATACTGCAATGCTTAGTTACAACATCTGGAATCAATATTGTTTCATTTGTTCATTAATTTATTCATTTAGCAAACATTGTGTTAAGCATTTAATGTGTACCAGACACTGGCAGGATCAGGAAATAAAGAAATGAAAATGGAAAGTCCTCCTGCAATTGCTAATACAGGGGTCAGACAAAATCAGTGATTGGAATTTAATGTGTTAAGTACCATAATGTCCACAGAAGAAACTGTGGAGGGGAAAACACTTCTGAGAGCAGGCAGCAGTAGAACTGAGTATTCAAGACTGAATGTTAGGCAAGTAGACTGTGATGGTTTAGGCTAAGAAACCCACATGTACTTTCCTTGAGTTCTGCTTCCCCTATCATTTACTTTACAATTGACATAAATGTCCAAATTTCATCTCATTCACTGAAGGTGAAGAGAGGGATTTGGAAGTAGGAGTTTGGGCTCTCAAAATTTGATTTAGAGGCTCTCCAGCACTGCTTGTGATATAGCTCACTGAGCACCTACAAAGATTAACAGTTACAAGTTTCTATAAATCAGAATATGACTAACCTCAGGAAGGGGTTTTCAACAGATGAAAACTTGGAGTCTTTTACTGTATGAACTTGCAATGATATAAGTGACAACATTATAACAACATGTAAAGTATTTAAGGAACTCTCAAATGCTTTATGAACTTCTTCAAAAATGTGATTAGCCAATTGATCCAATTTATGTAGGTTGAAACCCTCTCATATAAGTTTTTCTTTGTTAGAAAACCCTTGGAAACACATTTTTCGTGGGGGTTGTCTTTTATTTATAAAAATTAATAATCAAATTACTACAATTAAAATCTACTTAGCCTTTTCAGTAGTCTAAATATTTGGTAACTCCCTAGCTATCTATAGCACTAATTCAAAACAAAGCTAATTCATAACCTGTCTTAAAATGTTTAAAGTGGTATTGAGAGTATTGTTTATGCATGTTGTGGTACTATTTGTGTAATTATGTAATCATAAAATTTTTATAATGAGCCATTTCAAACTGTGCTTACTTAGCTAGAAGAAAATGAAATAAAAATGGAAAAATACTGTGTCAAATTTGTCTGGACTTTTTTAATAGTACTAAAAACAGAGGTTCAAATGAAAGGTGTGTGATAAATTGGTTGATTACAAAGCGTGAAAGGTTCACTGTAAAGAAGTGTAAACACACTTCTTCCATATAAAGAATTTAAGGTTAAGAGCACAGTCTTTAGTATTGGCTCATATACTTATAGATTTTGATGTCAAAAAGTCATCTACTTGATGCCTACAACTTTTATTAATTTGTTAGTGTATACTAGGTACAAGTACTCCAAGTCACTAAAATGAAGCTAATACCTGTTGATTAATCTGTTTATGAATCAGCTTTTATTCTAGAAGTATAAATACAAAAAACAGATCTCTGAATCAACTTAAATCAACTTAATGAAAATATCTTAGTTCACCTCTGATGAAGGAGAATGAGAGCCTCATTGTATGAATAGTTATTTAAAACCACCAGAGGTGGAGATGGATCCATAATCAACAATGGTGCATTAATTAGACCAATCTCTAAGCCAAATATTTTTTAAGTAAGTATATTTTCTATTCATATAAAATAGGTATCTCAAGCTTAAAATATTCCTCCTCCCCAATCTATTCTTCTCAGTTTTCCCCATCTTTTAATGGCAAATCTAATCTTTTGTTACTCAGGCCCAAAATCTTGGAGTCATCCTTGACTCCTGTCTCTCACACTTCATGTCTTGTCAGTAGTACCTTCAAAATTTATTCAGAATTTGAGCATGTCTCACCACTGTTGTCATCTTGGCCAAGTCATCATTGTCATCTCTCGTCTAGATTGCAGGAGTAGCTTCCTCACTATCTCCCTGCTTTTGTCCTTTTCCATCCTACTGTCTCTTCTCAATATTTACACTTTGAATAAACAGTGTATGTATGCCTGTGTTCTCTCAGGCCCACAGATCCTAAATACTTTGCGCTCAGATACACACAAAAAGTTTGGGCACCAGATGTCGCCTTGAAGGGACCTGAAACAAAAATCAGTTCATTCCTCTTGGTGCCCAGTGTCTCTACCTTTTCAGACACTCATCCTCTCTTGCCTTGAATATTGCTAGAATCTCTTCACTAGACTCCGTGCCTCCAGTTGCTCCCTTTCTAACACAGCCTTCATCAGAGTTCTTTCTGAATAACTGACTAAATTGCTTAATTGATCATGAAATTTTCTTGCTCACCATTTACTCTCAAGATTATTCATCAGCTTTTTCAGCTTTATTTCCTGCACTTGTACCCAATGTACTAGCCATTTTTACTACTACAACTAAACTGAGCACACCTTTGAAAATCTGTTCACCCTTAAAATCTAGGTTCAAATGTCACCTCCTCTGTGAAGTCTTCTCTGATACTTCCCATCCCAAACTACAGAAATATTGTTTCTTCAGCTTCAGTCCATGGCATTTTGTTTATTTTCCTAGCATAGACCTTATACAGTCTAGCCAAGATATAATAGGATATCTCTTGCCACTGGATTTTGAGCTCCTTTGGAGCTGGAGGATTGATTTTTTAAATTTATCTTTGTATTCGCATTGGCTTAGCCCAGTAACTAATTTATATCATTCATTTTAAAATACAGAAAATGCATTTTAATCTTTCAGTCCCTTAAAATGTTACTATAACAAATCAACATATGATGGGAAGGCTCTGATTTCAGTCAACTTTCAATCCCCAAATCAAAAATATAACCTAGATGTCAGCTGGATCTTCCTGGCTTTATGTCCTTCATGGCAGTATCCATGACCAGTATCACTCAAGTGTGAAAACTTTTTGTGTTTCAGAAGAATCCACCCACACCAGGCATTTCAAGCATTTAATAACCAAACGTTAATATGGCTATCATGTAGCTCCTGCCATCTTGCTGATTCTCTCTTTTCCTCTACTTCTTGCCTTGCCTTTGGAACACAATTATCTTATTTTCTCATTAGACTTGTTTTAATTTTCTCTAAAGCCTTAGTTCTAGCCTACATGCCTGGCCCACAGGAAATCACCTAACTTAAGTAGCCTTATTTTAGGTAATTTCTCAGCTAAAGAGACTCTCAAGATTAATTCTCAACCCAGCTGGTGAGAGAGAAATATTTTCTTGTTACATGTTCCTCTGAGAAAGATATTTGCAGCACTTTGCAATATGAAAATTTATCACATAAATTCTCACCGCAAAGGTTGGTAAGAAGACAGCAAAATATGCTATTTATCTGTGTTACCTGGGACTCCCGGGTTTCGAAGCCCATCCATCCATCCATCCTGCTTTTTCGCAGAAGTTATTCTTAAATCTTACTGTGCTTCAGGACCACTTGGTGGGCTTCCTTAAAACCAACTGCTAGACCTACCCCCAGAATTTCAGATTCAGTAAGTTTGGGGGTGGGGGAGGATTTTGCATTTCTAAATGGTTTCTGGGTGATACTGGTGCTGTCTCTCCTAGGACCACACTTTGATAATTCCTGCCATAGTGGTTCTTAAATTTGGCTGCTCATTAAAATCAACAACTGAGGAGTTTTTAAAAATCTTTATGTCCAGGCCACACCCCAGACAAATTAAATCTCAGGATAGATTCCTCAGTATTTCAAAAAACTCAGGTAATTCCAATGTGTAGGTAATTTTGAGAATCTGTGTCCTATGGTATTGAGTGAAATTCCTTCTGGGGCTATACTCTCAAGAAAATCCCTTTTATGGGACCTGCCATGTTCTATACTATATATAATAATTTTCCTACAAATGGGAAGTAGGGGCAAGAGATGGGGATTACTGGGAATTGTGCTTAAATAAGAATCTGTGTGATTAAACAAGCATTTAGAAGTTGAGCCACATACCTACTTTAAGTGAGAATGTAATAATTGCAAATTACTTGCCAGGAGCCTTTCTTTGTTTAGAAATCATACTTGTTTCTTATTATATTTTAGAAAGGAGGGAGGGAGGGAGGAAGGGGATATGAAAGACTTGGCTTAAATGAGGCAATGTGCTATGATCCTTTATTACCCCTGGTTCACGCATTCTGCCAAGGGAAGTAATAAATGGGGTCCCATTCAAAGACATGCAAAGCCTCAGAAGCTGCCAAGCTGAAGCCTGGAGCAGAGTGGATAAATCCAGGTCTTGCTCAGCCCTGTATTTGGAGCAGAGTAAAAGAAGAATGAAACCTTTTTGGTATCTTGCATTGAAGACAAAAGAATCAAACTAAGGACAGGTCCAGAGAGGCAATTTTGGCAGGCCCTAGGTTAGGATCTCTTCAGAAAACTCTCTATTTCAGCCACTTGCTGAGATATGAGGAGAGTTCTCTTCTAGCTTAGCTCAATCAGGCCGCCATCCTATGTTTGCCTGGAAATGTATGGCCCTTGATTATTTGAATCATGGCTGGGTTAGAGTTTGTAGATGACTAGGAGAGAATGCTGAATCTCTATCCTGTTTTCTTTCACATTTTTTCTATGCATAGAAGCTCCTTCACAGATACTAAATTAGAAGGCATAGTTTGCAACGAGGGCTTCAAGTTTGTTTGGGGCAGTCTTTTGACCTGAGAATGGGATCACTTTTCTCCACTTCGGGAGAACTTGCTTGTTGGAAATTTGACCTCAAGGAGCTGAGTCATACTTAAATTACCTCCAGCTACTTAAGTCTGAATTCATTTCTCTGATTATTTCCTACTAGCCTCAACACTGAAGTGGTACGTTATAACCAAAGCTCAAAATTCCCCTTTCCGATTCCTGGTCCTTACTTCCCAGGAATGGCCTCTGTGTTTTTTAATAATAGTCAGCTTATACCAGAGACTTTAGTGCTCGCACAATAGCAGCCTCACAGAAGGAGCCAAGACTCTTAAGAGGTCTGTCCTAGAAAGATGGAACATGGATGGGGATTAGATCACTTCCCAGAAGTCAGACCATGAACCTCCTTGTTCCTTACAGTACAAATTAAAAAAAAAAAAAACAAACTGCAAGTCTCTAGATGCTAGTTTGACTATCAACTTCCAAAGTCCTTACGCTCATGCTGCTTCTTAACCATTCTACTAAATTGAAAAACTTTCATTAGGTCTGGGTGTGAGTGCCTGGAAGGCAATTTAATTGATTTCAGAGTAGTTTCACACTAAACCCTAGTGGCCTGCACAGGGTTAATCTCTACTTTCCCAGACCATGTAACCAACAGTTTGAGATTCTCGATGTAGATGCTCTCCTGCTCAATTCTTGAGTGAAGATTTAGTATAGATTTAGTCCTGATCCTTACAGCAAAGGATCCCAGGTGAAAAATCAGTGAAACCTAATTCCATCAGGGTTTCCTAGGCCCTGTTGTCTGATTTGCTGTCCCTACACAGCATCATATTAATCCATGCATGAAAATCAGCAATTCTTTGATACTCCCTAAAAAGTTGCCCCATCAAAATGTCATGTTTGGTAATGTTACTGAAAATTTGACAAGTTCTGCACTGCGCCATCCTTCCCCTAACAATGAAATAGGTTTCTATCCCACCTTGGCCTCTCTTCTCGAAGAGTAAACAACTTTTTCATGTCTCAGAGTACTTTTATCTCCTTTTCTGATGCCTTGGGGCCAAGATACTTTCTGTGCTCTTCAGAGATTCACCTCAAATGGACTTACTACGTTTTCCTAACAAAGGAAGATCTTTTGCTAATAGGAATTCTCATATGATTTTTTAAGAGAAGAAAAATGCCTTCCCTAAATGCCATTTATTGCCCCACTCAATATGCCAGGTGTTATATTAAAAGCTCATGAATATTATTCCACCTAATCCTTTTAACAATCCTTTGCCATAGACGATATTATTCTATTTTTGAAAAGAAAACTGAGGCTGGGGTGCTTAAGAAATTTGCTTAAGAGCATGTAGGTGGTAAATGATGGAACTGAGGTTTGAATCTAAGAATGACACCACGGCCTATGTTCTTAATAACTAACTCTAAGCTTTATGTTCCTGGCATGTGGTGCTGGAGATATGTCAGATGCTTACTTTTTTGAACTTTGTGCAGTATCATAGTGGAATGCAAAAGAAATAGGTCTCAACATGGCAAAGGGCTCAGTACTCTCAAAAGCAATAGCATATATACATAGAATATGCAATTAAAATAAATTTTATAAACTATCTGCTACTGTGAAATCTGTGCCAGTGTTAATAGTTAGAAACAACTTTCATCGACGGTTCTAATTTACAGTTGGCTGTGGTTTGATTGATCGTGTGAGTCTAACAAATAATACAACCTAATATTTATTGCGGACTTACTTTGAAAAAGATATTGTTTGGGTTTCTGTTAAGCATAGAGTGAACCATGAGAGATTATTTCGGTCCTCGAGAGCTTATTCTAATTGGCGTATGAAACATGTGCTTTTGAAAAGTTGTTGCAAAAATAGAAAAGCATACTAAATGTTATATGAGTGGTTCAGGGAAGTCAGTCCCTGAAACCTGGGATGGTTGAAGTCTACAAGGAAAAGGTAAAATTTCAGTCCAGATATAAATAGTTGTAGGGAACGTTGGAAGTACATTCCAGGTGGAAGGATCACTGGGAACTATGTTTTATTGCAACCTGCTCCTGAAAACAATGCGGCCGCTGGCACGAGCTACTCGTTCTTGGAGACCCCTGCGTGACAGATTAAGGGAACGCCTCCCACACTACCAGGGTTCAGACTCCGGCCGCGAGGAACAACGGGACAGGATCCGCCTCGCCGAGCTTCCGTTTCCGGTCCTCAGGCTCTGTCTCCGCGGAGACTTGGCTCTTTAGAGAAGGGGGTGGGCCCTCGCGCGGGCCGCGCAGGCGCACGGGGGGCAGCTGCAATGGCGCTGCCGTGCACCCTGAACAGGTATCTGCTGCTCATGGCGCAGGAGCACCTGGAGTTCCGCCTGCCGGTGAGCCCGTAGCGCCCTCTGCAACTTCCGACCGGACGGAGAGGACAGCGGGGTGGAGTTGGTGTGGGGGTGGGAGTGACCCGCAGAGCTTGACGATGCTGGGATTCCGGGATCTGTGCTTGTCGGGGCAGATCATGCGTCCCCAGTACAATCCTTTGGCCGGTTGGGCGGGGCGCGCTTGGCAGAGGATGTGTGAGAGAGAAGTCTGGCTAAGCATCTTCATCCATTCCTATGTCTGCGTGCCAAGTACCGGAGTTAGGCAGGTGAATACGACGGGTCCTTTCCCTCCAGGAGCTTTTCGTCTAGCGGAGGATAGAGACATCTGACAGAAATGCAAGGTAGTGTTTTAACTGTCAGAATATGCTAGTCAAACTCGGTGGAGGGGTTCGTGGTGGGAATTAGATGATAGAGAAGTTGGGAAAATTGTTTTATTTATTCATTCAAGAAACATTTTCAGTATGCCTGTAATCGAATGTGTGGGAGCTGGGGATATAACGATGACAAAAACAGCCTCTTCCTTCAAGGAGCTTACTGTTTAGACTAACAGCTGAGCAGGCGCATATGGTAGAATTATAAAATACTGTTGGTAAATGCAATGATAGAGAGATGCACAGGGGAATATGATGAGAGCATATAGAAGGGAAATCTAATCCATCCGAAGGATGGGGGATGTTGGCCTTTGAAAGGCCTTCCATACAGGGATGACACTTGAACTAAAGGATTAGTAGGAGATAGCTGGGCCAAGGAGGGAAATATGTAAGTTAGAATTACAAGATGTTCATTACTACTTAATCACCAGATGTGTGACAGAGAGTGGTAAGAAGAGAGCAAGAGAGGTAGGTACGGGCTAGAAAATGTAAAGCCTTGAATACCTTGGAGCTTGGAAGGGGAATTTATTGAATAGTTTTAAGTATAGAAGTGAAAGGATCAATTTTTTTTTTTAAAAAAATCACTTTGATAGCAATATGGAAGATGGATTTGAGAGGAATAAGACTGGCATCAGGGACTAGTTAGGAGCCCGTTGGAATAGTCTTGTTAATAGACTAAGCAGGCCTGACCTAGGGCAAGGGGGGAGAGAATGGAATAGGTTGGGAAAATATTTAGGTAATAGAATCATTAGGTCTGGATTGATTGACTGTGGGGGGAAGAGGGACCAGTGAAGGATGACTCTGGGGTGGGTATAGTAGTGTCTCCATTTAAAATAGGGAACGCAGGCAGATGTATGATTTAAATTTTGTTTATACTGAATTTGATGTGCAGGTGTGACATGCACATCAAGTGTAGACGACTAGGAGGCAGTGGATATATGAGTATGCATAGAGCACGGTAGAGTGATCTGGACTGGCAGTAAGTATTTAGAGTCTTCTGCATATGAAAACTAGGAGAGAAGATGAAATAACTCAAAGCATAGTGTTAAAAGAGTAGTAGCCTAAGTACAGATGCTTGGAAGTATTGATACTAAGGGAGCGTCAGAAAGGGGAGGCCATGAAGAAGATTAGCAAGTGTCAGAATAAGAAGGATGTGAGGCCACAGAAATTAGGAGGGCAAAGTTTTAGGAATCAGGGAAAAATTGATAATGTTGAATGCAGTTGTTTTTTGGTTAGAAAAGAATGAAAAAATGTTCATTGATACTCTCTGTTAGAAAGTAATTAGTCAGTGATTTTGCTAGAGCTGTTGTGTAGAGTTTTAGCAGGAGCAGCCAGATTGCTTGGTTTAGTAGTCACTGGAAAATAAGGAAGGGGAGATAAGGTAGACTGCTCTTAATTAGAGCATAGAAGGGAAAGTAAGAGATTGGTTAACAGTTTGAGGGGGACCTAGGGTCTAGGGAGAACTCCTTCGACAGAAGGATTGAGCTCGAGTGTGTTTATAGGCTGAGGGGAAGAGGAGAATGGATATAAGGGCACAGTGGGAGGTGTTACCCTTTCAATAGAAGGGGAGATTGGTCAAAGGCTAGTTAGGATGGGTAGGGGGTAGTTGCCAGAGGGCCTGTTTTCTAGGTAATGGATGAGTTGAAGTTATTTCCTGAGAGATGATATGCCAACAGTTGAATGGGGAAATTGAGAAAAATAGCAAAATTTAAAATAGTCATTGAGAGCAAAGGAGAGAATTGTCAAGGCTAAGTAAAACCATCGAGTAGAGAAGAATACAGGTATTAGAGCAAAGCTGAAAAGTTAGCTGAAAGTGGAGATCACATATTTGTGTTATAATTGTGCAAAGATTCCGTGATTTTCTTCAGTATTACTCAACTCATTGGCCTGGGAATATGAAAGAAGATTGTAGCATTGATTCAGTATTAATGTTTTGAGTTTCATGGAGGAAGTCATTTTTAATTAAGTATTAATTGATAAAGAAGTTGTTCTATTAGTGAAGGGGACTGGAAAACCCCACTTCTTTGAGAAAACAAAAGTAGGCTTAAAGGCACAGAGGCGTGACTGGTTGACAATTTGGGAGGCTTGGCAACAGAGGATGAAGTAGTGGGCAGTGAGACTAAAGAGATGGTAGGATCCAGATTTGGGAGTGTTTTGATACCATTCCAAAGAGTTTGGATTTTCTTTTAGATTTAATGGGGAGCCACTGACTTTTTTTTTTTATCCAAGAAGTGACAAGATCGTTTGTGTTTTAGAATGATAATTCTGGAGTACCAGAGAAAAGATACCACTTAAAGCAACAGTCTCCAATCTTTTTGGCACCAGGAACCAGTTTCATGGAAGACAATTTTTCCATGGACCTAGGGGCGGGGGACAGTTCAGTATGACTCAGCTCATTACATTTATTGTGCAGTCAAACCTCTCTGCTAGTGATAATCTGTATTTGCAGCTGTTCCCCAGCACTAGCATCACCACCTCAGCTCCACCTCAGATCATCAGGCATTAGATTCTCATAAGGAGCAGGCAACTTAGATCCCTTGTATGTGCAGTTTACAGTAGAGTTTGCGCTCCTATGAGGATCTAATGCCACCGCTGATCGGACAGGGCAGAGCTTATGCAGTGATGCGAGTGATGGGGAGCAGGTGTAAATACAAATGAAGCTTGGCTGCTGGCCCTCTGCTCAGCTCACCGGCTACTCACCTCCTGCTGTGTGGCCAGTTCCTTACAGGCCACAGACCAGTAGGGGTGTGTGTGTGGGGGGGGTGGGGGCATGACTGCAGACTTATACTGGAGTGGAACTTGGTAGGAGCCAAGGAGGGTGAGTGCCTAAAGTAAGGTAATGTAGTGAGAATGGAGTGGTTAGGCTGTGCTCTCCAGAATCATATCCCTAGCACTTGGTGATTTTACCTGTTCTTCCCACTTAAATTCTTCTTACTGTATTACCCTAGTGCCAGTTTGATCTTCCAGAAGCTCAGTTCTGTTTAATGTCCTCCTTGCTCCTTAGTCTGGCATTCAAGGCCCACCACTGCCTGGTTTTCTTCTTCATTCTCCCACTTCCTCCAAGTGGGAGCCACAACTGACTCCCCATTATTCCCTGAACGATGCCCTCCATTTTCCTGCTTTGACCTTTACTTCCTGTGCTCCCTTTAGTCTGGTCAGAGTCTTTCCTCTTCCATTCTTTGATTTATTGACTTTATATAGTCAATATTCATTTAGATTTATCTATGTATTTATTTTAGGTTTATATTTTCCACATGATTCTTTTTCAGATCTGTAATTTCCTTTTTGTAGTTTTTCCTCCTCTGATGAAATTCTTAATTTTTGTCTTTTATCCCCTTCAATATAGAAAGCATAGTTATGTTAAAATATGTGACTGATAAAAGGTGTCCTTTTGGTCTGTTTCTGTTGTTTATTGTTTCTTTTGGTTCTTTTTCATATGTGCTGGATGCTGTATTTGAAAATTTATTTGAAGAAATAATTTGAGGCCTAGGATGACATGCATCCTCTTGAAGAAGATAGGACCACATAGGAGCATGAGTAATCTAGGATCCCTTTAACTCATTTTCAGGCATTAAACTCTGTGTTCTGATTCCCACATATTCCTGAGGGTCTGTAGCTTTTTGGGATCCTAATCTGAACTGGGTGGCTTATCAAGTCTCCTTTGTCCCCCATGTGTGGCCCTATAATGCTTTTTGTCTCTCTCACCCCATCAGATTGTCAAAAGGGCTGTTTACTCTCATATCTGCTTTTGGAATTGATAAATGTCTTAGGGAAAAAGTGGCTCCACCTTGGAATTTCTGTTCTGTCCTGGATTGTGGCTTGGTAATTCTTGATCTCTTTCTATGCCTTCAAGTAGATGTCCAGCTTTTCTAGCTCTTCTTAGCAGGAGGCTTAATCTGAATTACCTAGTCTGCCATCCCTGGAAGTGGAAGTCCTCTGGTCATTGTTTTAGATTCTTCCTGTTTTTCAGGGCTTAAGTCACTTTCCATGAAACATCCCTTCTAACACTGAAGTAATCTTTTCCTCTTTTATACTCTAATACTTTTTTGCTTTTACTTCTTTAAGAATGTGTATTGTTTCACATCCTTCAGTTGTGAGGTTAAATATTTTATTTCTCCTAGACCTTAAGCTCCTGAAGATAAATATGTGTTTATTTGTATATAGCTCAGTGTCTTGGATGTATTAGTTGCTGAATATGTTGAGTTGAGTGAAACAGGATCCCTTCTGGGGAAGGCGGTGAAAAGGACAGTCTGTACTTTTGGGCCCATTTACTGCAATAAACTGGTAGGCAACAAAGCTGTAATGAGAGGCCGCCTTTGTGAATTCAAATGAGAGATTAGAAATGTAAGTGTGGTCCAGTTTTACCTCTGATAGAGTTTAATTAGGGCCAGTTTTAGTTGGCAGCTGTCTTACTATACTAAAAGTAAAGTTTAGACACCTGGATTTTACTGCTGGTCCTGAAACAACCTAAATGGATGAAAAAGTGAGTGGCTGAAATAACTAAAAAGTTCATGTGAGTTAATGCATCATGTGTGCCCCAGATCATGCCACATTTTTATATCCAATGCTCAATATAAATTCTCTTTTGTTCCTAACGTAGAAAGATTCTTAACTGGAAAGTGAATTTGCCATACAATTAATGAAAATTTTGTGTTTTGCTTTGCCAAGTTGGTGATGGAGTAGTTTAAACATGTTTTGCTTTTAAATTTGAAACTGAGGTTATCATACTTATTCTCAATTTTAAATGGTTGTTTAAGTTTTGGGTAGTAGAACTAATGCTGTGCCATACAACTTCTGATAATCCATCACTTTTAGGATCTTTGTGTTCAAACCTTTGCTGATTTTTAACAGTGTTTTCAGATACAGCCAGCAAACTTGGGTGTTTTAACTTGGTTGTGGTTGGATGTATTAAAGGTAAAGCCGATTTTGCAACACGCTTTAATATAAAATGATCTTGGAGTGGGGAACTTCCTGGTCTGGGTATATGTTTCAGTTTTAATGGCTGTGGCTCACGGTGGCCTTGGTATCAAAGGCTCCTTCTGGTTGGGAGGAAAGGGGGTTGTCAGCAGCCAACCGTGGGGACATTCACTTCTTATTGGGTTACTTCCTCCATCAGAGCTACACAGAGGAGTGGGATTCTACTGTCTTTATGTTATTTAAGGAGATAATTTGTTGGTAGTACAAGTCATAAAATTTGTATAGTCATCTTGTGTTTATCAGTATAAAGTGATGGCTTCAAATGTATGTGTATACTATCTGAACAGATGTTAATTCTGCATGGATGACACTTTTAAGGTATCTATTGGGTTAGTTTGCTTTCTAGTTCTGTAATTTTATCCAGAAAGAAGAGGAGTTTAATGTATTTGTTAAATCCAAGTGATGCTCCCTGTTTATTTATTTCCAAACATCCTCAAATCATCTGTTTAATTATTCATTTCATTTTTACTGATCAATTGTCAGGTTTACTAATCTGTAGTTTCTATAATCTATTTTTTCCCTTTTCAAAATCAGGACTCTTCTGATGAAATCTTTGGCAACTCTCCTGTTATCTAAAATTTCTCAGAAATTGTTTGACCGTGGTTATTACTATTACATTTTTTCAGAACCCTGAATCATAATTATCTGATGTTGAAACTTAAATGCCTTAGGTAGGCCATCAGCCCACTTTTTAAAAATTTTTTAATCATATTATACCTGTGTTAAAGTGTATTCTTTCTATAATATTTTCAATATAGGAAATAAAGTCTTTGCTTTCACTTTTTGGAGGTCAGTTCACTAGCAGTCAGGAAACTTATGGAAAGGTAAGTTGAGTTTTCATTAGATCATATGTATACTTATAATAGAACCTTGGATTTGAAGAGAAGTGCTTATTTTAAATTCATATTTGTATGCTTACTTGTATTTGTTTCTAGAGGCAATGGAGTAAAAAGAATATTTTGGAAAAATTGTGGTTTTGGAAAATATTTCTAATATTCATTTATTAGTTTTTAATTGAACAGTTGTACCATAATTTGTATCTGTCCTTTCAATGAAAAAAGGGCTGGCTTCTGTTGATGTGTATTTAGAATTAGAATTTAGAATTTAGCTGAGTATTGGGCTTATATTGGGAAACATTTAAAAATTTGATATTGTTCATTATGTAAGATTGTGAGTTTATGAGATTTAAATTTTGTATTTGTAGTTTGTCAGTGTATTAGGGAAGTTTGGAAAATAGAAAAAAAAGTCATTCACAGTTCTTCCTCCTTGACATGACTTATAATTTGTGGATGCTGCCTTCCAGTCTTTTCTTCATGTACTTTTTTTCCTATTGTAGTGCTTCTTACCATGGATGTAAGAATACTTGATTTGACTTTAACCAAAATAAAAGTCGCTCCAATAGTAAAAAATCAAATGAGGGTAATATAGTACCATCTAAGAACACTTTTATAAATGACTCTATTAATGAAAGTATCAGCAAATTAAATTTAAATTTAGGGTTAATTTTGTATTTTTCTTTTGGTGTAGTTTGACCAAAAAAAACCCTAAATTTAAGTTTAATTGTACTATATTATCCTAATCAAGTATTCTTATATGAAAGTAGAAATTGGAATTTCTCCTCATTCATATCTTTAATAAAAGCATATGAAGCCATGTAACCACTTAGAATTAAGTGGTATGTTGTTATCTCTTTCAGTCACCATTTTGGATCCTTAGCATTCCCTCTGAAGAAATTGCAAGAAACTTAATGAAACGGACAGTGTGTGCCAAGTAAGAGAAACTTATGTTCTTCTGTGTGAGTGAACACGTAGTTCTCATAACTACTCAGTCCTACTTTTTGCTGTATCGACAGAAAGGACTGGTGTGGAGGTAGCTCAGTTTAGGTTGCAGTTACATGTGCCTGCCACTGGGTGGCGGTAGGGGAACACAGGAGACTTATCTGCTGAAACCGAGTGTGAGAGATCTCGGGGGAAATGCAGAAACACTTATTTTAGAATAATTTTTTTAAACTTCCATATTGGCAGCAGTATAGTATGAGATGTAAATATGTTCTTACATAGGGTATATGCCACGTTCTTACATAGGGTATATGCCACGTTTAGTTGTAACCAAGTTATTGAAAATGCTTTTCTTATAGTTGGTTTTTATTTGGATGAGAATTTTGGTGAAGTGTAAGATGACAAAAAGTGGAGACCGGAATGAAATATATTTTATTGTTTTATTTGTTAGAGAAGGGAATTCTGATAATATTACATCTTGGTATGAATTAATGTAATGATGTTGATCATTTATCCTGAGTGTTTCTGGATTTTATCATTGGTATGTGCTCTTTTTTTTCCTTTTCTTTCATTTCTTTTTTTTTTCCCCACTATTGGAACATTTTCTGTCATCAGATTTGAAAACTAAACTGCATGTTCAACTAACGTCTTAAAGATTGAACAGCTTGTGTTATCTTTGAGCTACTTTTTTTCCTGAACATTTTGACAGATTGCTGAAAACTTTCTTTTCCTTAGAAATTATATTTGATAATGCAATGCCAATAAAAATTTACATATATCTAGTTTTGTTAACATGGTTAGTGATGCTTTATATTGTCATAAGTAATTGCTGTTATTATTAAATTGGATACAATCCCATGTTTAGTTAACTTCATCCCGTTGAGAGCTACCTGGAGCTCTAAATCTAATCTCTTAAACTGAAGCTTGTTATTAAGTCTTATTATTAAATAAAAATGACTAGAAAACTGAAACATAACTAAAAAACACCTTTTGAATAATTACTATTTCAAATTTACATATTAAAATTTATGGCTCTAAGAGGTGCCTGAATTCCAAAGGTACAGCTTATTAGGTTTAAGATAGCTACTTGAGTACTAAGAACTTGTACACTTCTTTCAAAGCTCTTATCTTCTGATGCATATATTTGATTTAGGTGTAATTAATAATTGTATAATGCTTATATAATCATCTCTTTGGTTGCTTTTTATTCTCTGTATATTTTGTATAACTGAGGTATACCTTCAATGATAGCAAAGTAAGAGTACTATTACTGTGGAGGCCTTCTCTCTATAAATTCAATAGATAGAAAAGGAGGAATTTGTTTTCAAAGGATAAAATTCACAATCTAATTGTAACATTAGCTGTACTACAAGGAGATAGACTTTTTAGATTCAAAACTAACTTAAATTCAACTTTTTCTGTGGTAGTTTAGGGATTGAAAGTTCATTTTAATTATTATTATTTTTTTTTATTTCAGCATATTATGGGGGTACAGATGATTAGGTTACGTATGATGCCCTTGTCCCCGCCCCCAAGTCCGAGCTTCAAGTGTGTCCATTCCCCGGGAGGTGCGCATCACACTCATTGTTTGTGCATATGCCCGTCCCCTCCTCCCCCCTCCCCCTCCCCCTGCCCAACATCCAACGAATGTTATTCTTATATGTGCACTTAAGTTATTTTTAACATGAAATATTTTGAGCATAACACAAAAAGTGAAAAATATAGCAAGCACCTGGGTACCTACCTTGTTAGATCTCAATATTTTGAGTAACTTAGTTATTAAATGTTACTAACTCATAGCTAAATGTTAATATTACAGTAACATTTTAGTCTGATCATTGTTCTTTTTGTTTTATGGAGAAGACACAGGGAAAAATTGGATTTTCTGTAGCTTTTTACCCATTTCATTAAAATAACTAAGTGATTTTATGGCATCATTTGTTATAGTATAAAAATATGATGAAAACTTGGAAAACTCCTGGCTTATATTGAATTTCCTCAACTTCTCTGTGTGGTTTGGATTGAAGATATATTTGTTTCCAGGAAACAGATTTTTCATTTATAGCTTAGAAAACATAGACAATAATTGTTTTAGTGGAGTGGGCGCAACGAACTAGTAAAATAACTGTTATGTATCACTGTGTGAACTGAGTTCTTTCCTGAGGTTAGAGCCAATCATTTATTTCCTAGGTCTATATTTGAGCTATGGGGTCATGGAAAATCTCCTGAAGAGCTGTACAATTCTCTTAAAAATTACCCTGCGGAGAAGATGGTACGTAGTAAAATGTAGTTTCATATTGGCATATGTGCAGATTCTGTAGAATTATTAAGCTTAAAAAACCAATTTGCTTTTCTTTTAGATTCCATTTCTACATTCAGACTCTACGTATAAAATAAAGATTCACACATTTAATAAAACATTGACACAAGAAGAAAAAGTCAAACGAATAGATGTAAGTGAATTTGGCAAAAACAGAAAACCTACAGGATTAATGTAGTCTAGCCACTGTTGATAATAAGAATACCTAAGGTCTGTTAAATGCTTATTTTGTACCACATTTTGTGCTAAGTGCTTTTCATGTTTTATCTTATTTAATGCTGACATTAAATTTATAAGGTAGATATTATTAGATAAGCACTATTTTTCTTTGTACATTTTTACAGGACATTAGAATTACTTTTATTCTTTAGGCACTTGAATTCCTGCCATTTGAAGGAAAAGTGAATTTAAAGAAGCCACAACATATATTCTCTATTTTGGAGGATTATGGTTTGGACCCAAACCGCATCCCTGAGAATCCACATAATATTTATTTTGGTAGATGGGTAAGCAAGTGTTCTTTCTACTTATTTTAGTTTCTTTCTTTAAATGCTAAATGTTAGGTCTTTGTTTTTGACTCTTTATTATGTAGAACTTTAAAGCAGCTAAAGAGTCAGAACTACTGTATGGATCAAAATCAGTTAGAGTGCGTGATTATGTTTGTTGGTTTTTTTCCCCCAGAGATTACCACCTACAAGAGGCTAGCTAGATTGTTAGATACAGGGCTGAGGGAGGGTGTGATGTACCTGGAAATATTAAAACAAGACTTTTCAGACATCTGGACTGCTTTTTTGATAAACCAGAGAAAAGGCAGAATGCTGTGATAGTTGAGGGGTCTCATTTGTGGAGATCTCCAATCTAGGTCTTCCATTCTGAATATAAATAGAATTGCCGTAGAGCAGTTCTGCCTACTTCTCTAAGGCTGTCAGTGAGTGAATGGAAGCTGTGACTTACATTACAGATTATTGTTATTTAGGAGAAAAAAGAAATGGGCCAAGTTTACTATTTATTAACCCCTGGAATAATTGCATTCAAATTCAATTCATATTTGGTTTGAAAACACAAAGTAAATGGAAGGACATTAAGAAAGAAAAGGTTTGGTCTGACTGACCACAATCACATTATTTTCAAAGAACAAGTTTATAGCAGTAGTAGTGGAAAGAAGTTCTTGTCAGCAAGATACTGTGGTTTTATTGTGTAGGATTATCTCAGATCTGTATGGTTATACTAACTGGAGAAATATCTCTGATCTAGATTGCAGATGGACAGAGAGAGCTTATTGAGTCATACAGTGTCAAAAAGAGACACTTTATTGGAAATACAAGCATGGATGCTGGCTTATCATTCATCATGGCTAACCATGGAAAAGTGAAAGCAAATGATATTGTCTTTGATCCATTTGTTGGAACAGGTATTTTTATTTAACTGTTAAGCTAGTATGGAGATGTTGCTTTTGTATTAGTGAAGCCCATAGCAATATTTTTGCTAAAAGATTAAATGTACAGAATAATCTTTTAATTATCACTGAATAGTGGCTAAGAGACAACCACATACTTGCATAATAGCTGGTATTTAACACTTTTGCCGCTGCAGAGATTATGCAGATAGAATTTTGTGGGTCTTATTCCAAGTAAACCACTAGGGGGGAGCATACATCTAATTTTTTTTAATAGCAGAAGAACTTACAATATTATACATTGTGGAAATGTTGTAAAGCTGTATAGTTTATATGGATAGGAAAACCCTTGGTGGGGAAGAGAGATTTAAATGATAAGATGGATTTATCCTTTTAAGTTAATAACCATATATTTAGATGAAAAAAATAGTTAGTGTATTCTGTTTTTGATTTGGTTTGTGGAGGTTTATAAATAGGTATGAAAATAAGAAAAATGATGAAATATTAATGGGCTAGAGGCCACTGTGGCAATGAGCCGGGTTCTGTGTTCACTTGTTTGGGATGCCCTTGTAATTAACTTTTTGTGGAAATCCTAAAATGCCGAGTTTACTTCATTTGACTCTGAAGACTTTTTCCTCCTCCAGCTCATTTTGCTTGATCTTGCCCATACCATACTCAGGGAGTACTCACAGTTAGGTTTGTCTGGCCAAACCCATTGTGGCCAAGTTTGTGGTCAGAGCTTCTCCCTATAGCCATCTTTCCCTTTGGGTATTGGTGATGCAAAGCTAACATTTGTTGAATGACAAATGTGTCAGATACTATGCTATGCACTCTAATGTCACTATCTAATTTAACTCTTATAACAACTAACATGGACATACTTTTTAAAATTTTCTTGAGATTATGGCACAGAGAGAGGTTAAGTGGCTTGGCCAAGATTATGCAGCATATGTGTTTCATAGGATTCAGACTCAAGCAGTCTAGCTCCCGAGCTCATTCTCTTAACTGCTGTCAGGGAGCTGCCTCTCTCTGTTTTAGGATCTGCCAGCCAGCCATTAGACCATACACTAACTTGAGCAATATGACCACACAGGATTAGGAAGACGTAGTATCAAGGCTGAGATTTCTAACTGATGGAGTGATTTCTTGTGTTTGTCGTTGTTGAATTAATTCATTCGTGAGTTGTTCTTCTCCCACTCTACTAGTGTCTCCATACAGTCCATCTCCAACATACTGTCTTTTCTTTCCCATCCTCATTATCCTGAGTGTCTCCCCCCACATTTTAAACTTTCTATTGGAAATAATACTAAACTTACAGAAAAGTTACAGGAATAAAAATAGAACAAAGAACATGCATGTATCTTTAACTCAGCTTAAGCTATTATTAACATTTGGCCTCATTTGCCTTATCATTTGTTCTATTTAT